GGGGGCGCGGATGGTCTCTCCCGGGCCGGCGGGAGCGGCTGTGACACCTGCTGGCGGCGGCGGGCCGGCCCACGGCGGGCGGAGCGGGGGGAGCGGGGCGGGGGGGCAGAGCGTGCCCGCTCGGGGCGCTCCGCGGCCGCGCCCGGCGCTGATGCGCGGCCGCCCCCAGGCTCGGGGCACGGCGGGGCCGAGCGCCCCCTGAGCACCGGCGCGCCGGGGCACTGCGGTAGCGGCGCTGCCGCGGCGGCGGCTCCGCGCCCCCCGCCCGTCCTCCTCTTTCTCCTCCTCCTCCTCCTCCTCCGCCGCGCCACTTCCAGGGGAGGCTGGTGTCATGCGGCTGGCGCCGAGGGAGGGGTGCCCGGGGCCGCAGCAGCAGTGAGAGGCGCCGCGCCGAGCCCCTGCGATGACAGCCATGAAGGAGCAGCCGGCGCACCCGGGCGGCAGGGGGAACCCGCCGCCGCCGCAGCCCGACCAGGTGCGAGCCGCGGCGGGCGGCGCCGAGGGGCCGGGGATGGACGGGGCGGGGGGCGGCCGCCGTCCCGGAGAAGTTGTGCGGAGCTGGAGAAAAGTGTGCGGGAGGGGAACGGGGGATACGGGCGCCCTCGGGGCGGTTCGGCCGGGAGGAAGAGGGAGCCCCGCGGAGCTGTCTCGGGGATGCGCTGGGGCCGCCCGGAGGGGACCCAGCCTCGTCCGGATCCGCATGGGAGCTGGGATGTCGGCCAGCCCCGGGTCCCGCCGTAGTTTGCGCTCCGCTTCCCCGCGAGTTGCGCCGGGGGAGCCGCACGGGCCGGGGGATGCTGCCCGGCCGCGGGGAGCGGCGGTGGCACCGCGGGAGCGGCCGGGGCTTGCCGGCGGTGCGGGGCGCTCCTCATCGCCCCCCGCTCCGCTCGGGGCGGGCAGGGAGCGGCCCCGGAGGCCGGGGAGGTTTCCCGGGGGGAATTTTGGCAGCGGCCGGCCGGCAGTCACGTCCCTTGGCCCGACGGTGCCGCCCCGTGGGCTGGCGGGGCTGAGGCTGGCGGGGTGCTGATGCCTCTCGGTAGAGGTGATTCTCGGCACCGGCTCGCTTCGAGTCTCGGGCGGCGTCCGCATACGGGAGATGGTACCGGAGAGCAGCCGAACTTGGATGTCATGCTCACAAAATCGAAGTTTTTCATCGGCAGATCGCTGCGCCTGATGCTCCCGAGCGATATCGGGAGGGATGGGGCTGTCCCCCGGGCACCCTCCGGCAGCCGGGGCGGGGCGGGGGTCGTGCCGGAGCCGGAGCCTCGCACCTGCCCTCGGCACCCGGCGGGAGAGGCTCTCCGGCAGCGCTCAGCTCTCTCTCTCCCCCAAGCACCTTAAAATATGCGAACTCCAACGGAGGGTTTTTCAGTTTGTTTTATTTTTTTTGCAAATAGTCCGTGCGCGCCGCTTTTGGTGTGGAACTCCGGCACGCTGAACGGGCTCGCAGGACGTGGGGAGCTGCATTTCACGTTTTCATTCTCTGCTATATCCATCCACGGAGCTTAATTTTCCTTCGATACGCTCGCATTGGGTGAAAAACGCCAGCAGTGGAAGCTGCTGGGCTCAGATGTGCTTTAGCAAGCCAGAGGCTGAGTACCCAGTCCTGCAAGCACACCCAGGCTGCACGTTCAGCTCCGAGGAGTCTGTCCAGTATCAGTGAACCCATTCATTTAAATAAATTTAAAGATCTATGCTCTCTGCTGAAAAATGCACATTTTCGTGTAATGCTGGTAAAATAATACATTTGATCCTTCTTGAATACATTAATTGCGTAAGTTACATGATCTGAAATAGATGGGTAACTTCAACCAGTGCTTAAATTCTGTGCAAATAGTAGAATTTATGGAAAAGTGAAGATCATTTTAAATAAGCTCAGAGGTTCACAGAGCTCATAAATTTCAAGGACATTGTTTTGCTTTAAAGGGGTACTGCTATTAGATGTAATAAAAAGTACTTGAACTTAACCAATCTCTCTTTATATTCAATTCGGAAGTGTTGAATTGGCAATTGTTGTTGGAGGTGGAGGTCTTTTCAAAGGAGGATTAATATTATATGAACAAAATTACCAGTTTGACTGCTTTTTTAGGTTGTAATGAGGAACAGCAGTAAGATATCAATTTAAAGCACACTTAAATATTAAGGTTTATCCTAAATATAGAAACATTATTGCCTGAGTGCTCTGGAGTTCTCAGCTTCTCTCAGTGGTGGATGTGGCAGCCGCTGGTTTGTCTGTGGGCCTGGCTGAGTGTGAAGATGTGAAGTCCTGTATATTTGGATTGGGTTTTTCAGAGCAAGTTTACTTATCTTGGTTAAAGTAATACTGAATCAGCTTTGGTTACCTGTTGTCTTAGGTGTCAGGGACATCATGCACTATGTAACAGCATGCCATGTGAAATGTTGCTTTTAGTGGATAGCAAGTCTTTCTGTGGGTCTGAATGCCCCTCATAAGGATGGGGGCCCGAGTCCTGCAGTGAGCTCCGTGCAGAATGAGGTCAGGGTCATGGATGTCCACCCATGCACCTCTGCAGGATCCGTGGGACACGCTCACCCTGGGCAGGGCTGGACCAGAGGCTGGGTCTGACATAGGTTTGTGCTGGAAACCATTCTCAGTGCAGCAGTGTGATGTGCCTGTGATCCTAACAAAAGAATATTATTGTTTCAAAGCTCTTTTGTTGGCTTTCCGTGGTTGCAGTTGTGGAGTTGGTGCTGTGGTGAGCATGAGGGGAAGAAGATCAGGAGTTCATATGTTCATTCTGCTTTTCCACACCCCACAGCACTCATGGGCTTGCTCATATGGAAAATGCATCCTTCTCAGGGCCTTCAATAAATCCATCTCTGTCTTGTACTCAATGTTTCACACTGCATGTTGCTGGTGAGCTTGTGTGAACTCATAGTGTCACTGTCTTTGACACTTGGAGCTTATTGACCTCTTTATAACAAGAAGGTGTCTGCTCTGAGAAGGGTTTCCTGAGGCAGCAGGGCGGCAAATCTTTTCTGGTAGACAAGTAGAAAAAGGTTCTAGAAAGAAAAAGGAATTGTACCAAGATCTTCTAAGTGTCAGTCTCTTTCCTGATTCCAAAGTCTGGTTTTACAGATTTGTCTGAAAGCAGTCATACCAAAGGTGAAGTATTTCTGGTACATTTATAGGTAAATTTGTGACCCAAGATGGGATTTCAAATTACAGCAGGCTAATGCTGGGATTCTCCACTTTAAATAAAAGCTTGGATTGACTGACTGAAGCATCCACAGCCATCACCTTATAAATAATTGGACACAACTTCATATCCAACACGTCCTCTGGTAGTACTTTTAAACCAAGGCTCCCCTGGGACAAGGCATCCAATAACAACTTCCATTAACAGTGCTATTGATGTTTTGGCATTCAGTTTGATAAATCAGCCAGATTTATTCTCACCTCGCTGCTAAATGATGAGTCATATTTATTGCAAAAATTACAGTTTTATGTTCAGGTGATATATCTGTAGAAGGGAAAATAGCTGTAAATTACCTGTATTTCTGGAATGCTCTATCCAAGTGCTCAGACTTCTGTCACTTGAGTGCTGTGTCAGGAGTTAATGTGGCTCTTTCAGTTCCCCTTAGAAGACAAAAATGAGTGTTTTTCATCTTGTGGCTCTTAAGAATTGTCCTGGGGTCTTGGACAATGATGTTTAGTGATCTTTTTTAGAAGGCACAACCATTTAGTCGTCAGTGGACACAACATATTTGAAAAATATAATGTACCTGAATGACTTGCTGGCTGATGAATGTTGCTGCCTTTGCAGATGAAAAACTAAGATAATTCCTCTAGGTATTACCTTTGTGAGGCTTCAGTCTGTTTACAAAAAACCAGATGATCTACACCACCTGGTGCTACTTGCTGTTCTTTGTGTGTGCAGAAGACAGACCTTTGAAATTTGTAATAATTTTCTCCTGAGCCTCTTTTACTCTCCCAACTTGATGCCTTTTTAAAATTGATTTTAAAACAGAAAAAAAGGTGGTGAGTGTTGTTTTTTTTTTGTTTGATGGGGCTTTTTTTGTGTGTGGGTGAGTTTTTTGTTGGCTTTTTTGTTTTGTTTTGTTTTTCTTCTATATTTCTATATTTCAGAATCTACTACATTATTCTTCTTAAAACAGGCAAGGTCAAATCAGACATTGTATTGTACTAAATCGGGACATTATTTGGTAAGCATTTAAATTACATGTTTAGTGAAAAAAACAAGGACAAGTGGTTACTGTTGCTTGACTGTTGATTTCAGTAGTTGACTTTTTCTGTCTCATGACCAGTTTCTGTGGTCACCAGACAGGTGGCACATTCTAAAAGTACATCTGAACAAAAGACATCTGTATTTTATTTTTTGCAGGGACTAGAGCCAAAATAATTTCTGTTTTTATGTCTTTCTTCATTGCTTTGCTCCTTTTTCCCCAAAGCAGACTCTGATCTTGTAGTGGGAGAAGCATTGATGGATAGCTGTGTCTGTCCAGAGCAATATTCACCTTAATGAGCTTTTATCAAGGTGAAGGGGCTCTCCTTTGCCCCACTCAGGTCAGTTTGAGCTTGATGGGTCAGGCAGAAACTTTTAATCCCATACACACAACAGTTCCAGTACTTGAAAGATTTAGTCAGGTGGTCAAGTCCATGTCCCCCACTCCTGTTTGTGTTCAGAGCTGGCCTCAGACTGAAATAAGAAATCCAGTTCTAGTACATAATCCAAAGTGACTTTGCATTTTTCCTGCTTACCAGCCTAGGGGAACTTTTACCTTGCTTTGTTGTGGTGCTCTACCCAACTTACTGGTTTCAACAAGCTTCAACACAATGTCACAAACAGTCAATAAGAAAAGCCAATAGTAGTGGTGAAATAAGGTTATATTATTATGCCCAGAATATTTCATAAAGAGCTATCATTTGGATCTTAACTTAAACTTTAAAATTCTGTTTCTTACGCTATCTAGAGGCCACGCTGTGCCTGTGCTGAATCCAGCAAGGGGGATTACAGGCTTGCAGTATCTTCTGACTGTGTGACCAGCTGCCCAAGAAGCTTATAGGAAAATGTATTACCTGTGGTGGTTTGTAATATTGTTCAGGATTCAGATTCTTGAGGAAGGCACAGGATGTGTCATCTTTCAAATAGTACATGTGGCCTTTATTCATTTTCTCTGTGCCTGGTGACTGTTTCGATGTAGTTCAGCCGTGTACCTGATGGTGGTGATTGGCACAAAAAGCCTGAAGCTTGTCTTCCGTCTTCACTGCAGTTCCTGTCTTCTGCTCTGAGCTCCGTGGGGCAGGGGCAGGCTCGTTTTTGGTGAGATGCTCCTGATGTTAATTGGGGAGCATCGCTGTCTGTGCCATCTGGTACCTGCTCTGGTGGCCAGTCTGGGGGAGCTTGAGCCACGCTCTTTTTTTTTCAGTGTCTGCAGAGCACACGAGGGTGTTTCTCTGCACCTCTCAAATTCAGAAGTGATGTGTCCAATGAG